TTGGCTGGTCATTGGTGTCTTGATAACCTAGACAGGGGAAGGAAGCGAGAACAAATACATTTTTAAGCAGAATCTTTCTCACCTCATGGTATGACAGCAAACCACAGTTCAGAATTCTATTACAAAAATTCACAAAATGTGTGTTGCAAAACACAAATTTGATTATTATATATGCAGCAGAGACAGAAAGCTATTTTTAAAAAGACAGCCAAAGCATTTTTCATATTTTGAAATTAATTGTTTGTTTGGAAAACTTCCCCATTTACCTGGTATGAATGGTAAAAACATCTTTTCAGAATCCCATTCAAAGATTACAGTGTAACAGAACAACTTTACAAGCACATAGTCTCTGTTGTCTTGAGAACATATTGACATGATTCTAGAGAAATATATTTACACACACCGCTGTTTATGTAAAGGACACAACATTACTTGTCCAAACGAATCACGACCACAGGCAATTAAAGAAAAATGAAAATCTGTTTTTCGAATTTGGAATAGCCTGCTAGCTTTCAAGTAGTACCTTCCCATCTGATTTTCTTCTCAAAGGAGTATTTTCCTTTTGCCATGTGTAGTCTTTCCCAGAACATTTACTAGAGTGTGAATGCATTAAGTTATGTATTAGACACCCAACATAAAAAAATAATGATTTGCAGAAGCTAAACTGGTTGTGATATCTGTGTCGAAACTCAATCTCCACGTGCAGTAACTGTCAAGCAAATTGCGATACGTAAGCATTATGGTTGAACTCCAAGTTGGAAATACTTCTAAGTTGCTTAAGAGTTCTCTCCCAGTCATCCGATGACTAATGATGAGGTCAACACAAAACCAACGGTAGCAGGCACCCTTTCTCAGGGGAAAGGAGATAGTAGTAGTTTTTACTTTTAAGTTATATAAAAATATCTGAGTCACATTTATGCAAGATTGAAATGACTTCTAATAAATATTTCAGTATTTTTAAATCTTATTACATTATTATTAGACAGTTACCTCCACAAGCTTCATCATAGGCACAGGATTGAAGAAATGGAGACCACCAAAACGGTCCTGCCTGGTGGTTGAGTTGGCCAACTGGGTGATTTGCAAGGATGAAGTGTTGCTTGCAAAGATTGTATGCCTGGAGAGAGAGAGAGACAGAAAAAAATTTATATATATATATGTATATATATGTGTGTGTGTGTGTGTATGTGCATATATATATATATAAAATAAAATTGACATCTATGTTTCTGACATAGATGTTCTGACAGTGGAAGACCGGAGTAGACATCCATAGACTTAGATATATCCCTGTAGATCAAACTTATCTTTTTGATGAAGTATAAATACAGCAATGAGCAATGACAAGGAAAGGAGAGAAAAAAAAAAAAAAAAAAACACCACTGGAAGCAGCGCTGTGTGGGATTACAACTCCAGGTAAAGTATGTTAAACACTTCAGTACATCAAGCAAATGGATTTTTAAGTTAAAAAATAAACATAATTAACAACCTACTCCAAACCTGCTCCAGAAAAATTTATTCAGTAATCATGGAAACCTAATGGAATTTGTTATTTTAAATCATTTAGACATCTACAGAAATCAAACCTTTTGACATCTCAAATTTTTGGAATCTAAAAATATTTGGAATATTTTTAATAATCATCAGTTAGAGACCTCATAAACAAGATTACTACCAGAGAAAAGAGCCAATGAAAAGGCAGAACAAAAAACAGCTACAAGGGATGCAAAAAGGAATACTTCAAGGGATATAAAAAAAAATTAAAAACTCACTTTAAGACATTTATATATATGAAATCCTTTTCACAGGCATGTACCCGATTTACTATTTGCATAATGCCTTATTTTAGAAATATTGCAGTGCCTTCACATCCCTGTCAAACCGACAGCACACAGGAAAGTGCTCTAGGTGACCCTGCGTGTGCAGGGGGGTTGGACTAGATGACCTCTAGAGGTCCCTTCCAACCTTAAGCATTCTATGATTCTATGAGCGATATTTTCAGAAAACTCACATGAGCTGCAAAAATCAGCAGTTAAATTAGACATGAAACCATACCTTCCATTTTGGACTATATCCTATCTACCTTCCAAAAGGTTATCCTACTGGACTGGTCAAATGTCAATCTGTACTAGCAATTCATTTACATTCTACCAAGATGTAAATTAGCTTCACAACAGAGCTTTCACAGTTATGTGCAAGTCATGGAGACATCACACAGGGCCATTAAAAGATAGCATTTTAGGATAAAAAACATGCTCTGACTTCCATTTTATTATTTATGTTGACATTTTGAGAATTGCTTTAGGAGATGGAAATAAAAAATTCTGAGACTTTCTATTCATAATTTTTACAAAATTACTTTAGTTGCTTCCCCACCATAAAGCAGGTCCTACATATTTTGAGGTGGAGTAATAAAAAGAATATTCTGTATTCCAGAATTTTGACCCCCCATTTGAAAGATGCTTATCTTTACTAAAAATCTGTCACTACACACAGAGAACCAAAATATTCATATAAAAATATTTTCAACCCAAATCTAAACCTAGCAGAGATTACATCAGACAAAATAATGCACTTACAATAAAAGACTTTAGCATCATATTTGTGCCTTAATCTCACACAACGTCATACGAAAAAAAAAATGTAATTAAATTTGTACTGCACTCGAGGGTGTTTTATTTACACTTTCTGTTCTGATCAACCAATTGATTTAAACTGAGTTTACAATGGAAGAAAAATACTTCCATGACTTAGGTACACAATCTAATCTTCAAGTGACAGCTGAGTTCAAAGGCTTTTGAAAGCAGCAATATTAGCAAAGCTCTAAAAGAGCTTTTCCAGGCATCAGTGTGCTTTCCTTTGGTGCCATCTAGTGGGTCACAGGACGAAATGAAAACCAGAATTAAACTCAAGAGAAACCTATTTGATAAAACTTACTGTTATAGTTCATCTCTTTTTTGACAGTGAATCTGAAGAACACTTCTTCTTATCCAGTTTTAAAGCACACTGATTCTGAACATATTGAAAAATCCAGAAACACTAGCCAGTTTCTAGATAAGTTTCCTGCATTCCCACCACCCAGAGATTACCAGGAAGAAAGAAAGCAGAAGTTTATGAAAGCAGATACTTCAAAATTCAGGAGCACATATTCATGATGCTCCTGTTTGCAAAGGTACTGCAGTGTTTAAATGCCTGAAAAAAATAGGAAGACTTATCTTTGTTGCAAAGGTCACTGTAAATCAAATATAGGAAATAAATATACACCTGTCGCATCTGAAGAAGCAAGTGGGACACAAGTGGGATACAGTACAAAGGAAGAAAAGCACAAAGTTTCACATTTCCATAATTCTTCATGTTATATGGAAAGTTAATAACACAGGCACATAGCTACCCATCAGCTACCCCTCTGGTAAGCCTGAAGATTTGCATTAACACATGCCCTCATACATAAACTTTGCCTATAACATACAGTTCAAAGTGTCATCAATGTCTAAAGGGTCACAGAAACAAAAATCTTCCAAGGACTCGATTAAAATCATCTTTAAATAAATCTTAAGACATCTATCAACCTCAAGTCTACTGCCCTTCCTATGTTAATGTAACAGTCAACTGGTTTAAATTGTGAAGTTGATGTTGAAATCTTAGCAAAGGCTGTATGACAACAGCACTGACACCTCTTGCTTTATATTACATCAGCTTATCAAATACAGTAAATAAAACCAATTGCATCAATATAAACATGGGAAAATACTGACTGAACATTTCTGCTTTTCCCTCATGTTATTCACATGAAGTCAAACTCCCTGTATTTCTCACATAACTAAAAATTTCCATTTGTATCTCACAGCTAGTATTTTAAACACTTGGCTGCTATTATGTTTCATAACTTTACTGCTATTTCTTTCTTTCAGATATGCTGTTATCCTGCAGCTTAGATTCACCATTTACTTCCTTTTTCTTCATCAGTAAGGAGAAAAAAAAATAAAAAACTAACCAACTTTCAGATCAATTGCAGGACTGAATGTTAAGTACACAGAATTTGCATAAAAAGGAGTAGCCAGTTCATTTCATGCTTCTATAAAACTATCATTATGAAAGATCCCAAGCACAACAGATGCAAATATTAAGCATAAGCTGCACAAAAACATTTTCTATTTAGCAATTTGACAGGCTTATGCTAATTAAAGTTAATCTGCTGCAGAAAATTTTAGTCTTCCTCATGCTTTTCTTCAATATGAAAAATTTGTTGGTAGCTGAAAGGAATACTTAGAATGACTTGGAAAAGAAGACTTTTAAATCTTTTGAGTAGATGAAACCTATCACAGACCTGTTTATATCCAAACATAAGATGAAGCCCCCTACACAAAGCAATGCAAGAAATAAATAAATCCAGTCTATGCATCTGAAAATGTCTGGAACATCTGCACCTGTCAAATATTCTCTACTACATTCCCTATTAGTCTGAGGGGAAAAAAAATGTTTTTAAGAAAATGTAGAATTAAGGCTTTAAAGAAAGACAGAAGATAAAGATGTAAGTTTCAAAAAGTAACAGAAAAAATATACCCACTCTGGAGCAAACTTATCCAGCGTCTTGAAGAGCTCATTTTTTATTTCCTGATTCTCCACAATAGCTTCTATCACCAGATCTGTGCTGTGGACCACTGCTACTGCATCCGTGCTTGTTGTCAGGTTCTTCAAGGTCTTCTCAATGAACTCAGTGCCAGCCTGAAAGATTTCAACAAGTTCCAAAATCTATTTACAATGATTTCATTTATTTCTATACGGAAATCCCATATAGATCCTCTGAAGTGTATTTAAGCCCTCAAAACTTAGAGCATTCTGCTACATTTCAAAATCGATGAGAAAGTTCCTAGCACATTTCAGGAAGGCTATTCAATCCATTCCCAAGTTCAACCTTCAGCATAAAAGCACAATCTTCACCCTAGTTTTTGCTAGAAATGAGGGGAAAAAAGATCTCTATCTTCTGACTAGCAAAACTGCCAATCACTGACTCTTGTTTGTGAAGACAAAAATCAAACACAAATGAAAGACTTTCGAAAAAAAGAAAATAGAAACTTAACACAAGTAAAAACATACCTGCATACTAAAAATACAATGTCATATTTGAAGTATAACCACACCATGTGCACAACTTGCTTTTAGATTAAAAGCATCTGCAAAGCAGGATTTGGAGTCTCTGTAATTATGTGTAGGTAATTATATTGCTCTAGTTATACTGCTATTGTTACAGGTTTTCGTCTATACTCACTGAGGCAAACAAGTCCTTTTTCATTTCCTTTCTGTGCTGCACCATTCATGCTGATAATCATCAATACTAGGATATACTATCTAGAGAAATAGGTATAAAATACAAATCGCATCTGCTGTAAAGTGCAATGTTACACTTCCCCTCCTTCCAAGCAGCCAAATAAATTTAGAGAAACAGGCAAAGCAGCAAATAACTTTTAGGATATAAATTTAAACACATCAACTGCTGCACAGTAACTGGATGTATGTAGGTCTTAACGTAAACACTAAGAATCTTGCATCTCTAGTTCAGGTACAGAGTAGTTAAACTTGCAATTTCATTTCCTTTGCAGTAATTGTTTTTTGTGCTGAAGCTTTTAATCAACAAAAGACTCCTTACATAGGTATTATGACAAACTATGTAATGATTATTTTTATGGCTAAAATGGATGAATTCCCAGTTGATTGAATAAAGATACTTGTGATTAAATTAGAATGAACAATTTATCAGCAAGTTTAGCATTTGTTTTAATGAAACCTTTATCTTAAGGCTAAAGTCTAGAATAAATAAGAGAAGACTTCTCTCAACCTTTCTGAGTCAAAAAAATCCAAGAAAATGCAGGCTCTTCCAGCATAGGGAAGAGGCTTACTTTTCAAGCCAGTATATTAACAAGATCTATAATACTGCAACTGCCAGCAATCAGAAGTTCAAAATGGGAGTCTTGTATTGCCTAAGTTTCCCTAAAGGTGTAAACACAAAAACAACAACCTCAGGCTTATCTGCAAACTTCTTCTTTGTCACTCTTTTCAAGCTCTCTTCAATTCCTTTTGTAGACTTTTTAAGGATTTCTTCTGACTGGTCTACTAACACCACAGTGTGTCCTGTAGCTGCTGCAACCTGGAAAATAAAAAATAAAAATAAAAAAGATTTGATATCAAGATAATAAAACAATTGTATTAATTTCTGTTGGGGCGGACAACTCCCTAGAAGCAGGCAGAAAAGAACATATTCAGCTGATGTAAAAATTAGGCACTCAATGTTTCCACTATTTTAAATTGCACACCACTATTTTAAATTGCACACCTGAGGGACTTACATTCTGTAGACTTTCACTTTACATCTAACTTGCACCTAGGGACTAAAAACTAATGGTGCCTACAGGATCAACTGCAAAACAAGTTAGCTGAGATCAAATCAGAACAGAAAACTGCCCTCCGAAGACAACCTGTCACTGTTCTTGTCCAAGCTTCCCCACCTGGTGTTACAGTCACCACTGGTTTGAGATGAGTTTAATATGCATAAATCAGAGGTAGAGGTCAGCAGACCAAACCTCTCTCCTCTGCAGCGGTAGAAGACTGCAACCTCAGTTCAGATACTGCTGAATATCACACTTTATTTTTTGACAAGCTGCTAAAACAAAATAAAACAAACAAACAAAAAAACCTTAACAGCAGCAACAAAGGGCAATCTAACAGAATGGGCAGATTAACTGCAGATTTTTCCTACAGAGTTGCAACCTTTAAACAGTGCCTAGGTTTCTCCAACATGAGAGCAACAACCTTTTGTAAAAAGGCTGATTATGAAGCTTCCTTTAGCGGAAATCTCAAGTTCTAGTGTCAAGGTACAGAGAAGTGTTTTTACCAGATAAGTTAATAAACAACTAGCTAATTCCATAAGGAAAGGGGGAAAAAAAGAAAAAAGAAAAAAAAAAAGGAAACAACAAAAAAATCCACTCCTAGAGATTTGCCAGAAACATGAAAAATCCTCATTTCTGAGAAGGAAAAGGATTAACTCATTAAAACAGGACAGTGCTATTTACAAACTCAAGGTTCTTCTGGTTTCAGACCACCAGATCTCATGGTCTGACACACACTCCTGCAGGTCCACCTCTCCAGGGGGTTTGCTGAACAGGCCTGTTAGTCACAGTGCTGAGCTCCCCTCCTCCAGGGCAAGCACCGCCACTAACACGAGTACATCCTGGAAACATATGCTATGCAATAATTTTCATAAAAAGCACAATGTATTAAAATAAGAGATTTTTAAAGTAATTTGGGGCTGCTTTCTTGCAATTAGCTCTAAGAGAGAAAACTTGGGCAGAATGTTTCAAGACTGAGGCCCTCCAGTTACTGGAATTAAGAAACACACTTGTTTTCCTAATCCTTGCCTCACACACGTAATGTTTTATCTGCAATGGGTGCTTCCTTAGCTTGCCTTTGCTGATCAGCAGCACGAAGAGGCAGGCTTCGAGGGCTGGGAGAATAGGACTGGTATGCAAGAGCAAGGCCAAGGCAGCCGCTCGCGCCCAGCACGTGACACTTTCGTCCCAAGCACAGAGCTGCTACTCCACCTCTACGCCCCCTTTCCCATATCTGTACAGACAGGCCTCAAGTCTTAAATCCCACCTGGATTTAACATTAACTGGAAAAGGCACGGGGGAGAGAAAAGATATGAGAACTATGCGAGAAAGCGCAGAGAGCGACAACAGTGTCTTGTGCTGCCCCGAGCGGACATGAGAACTTTGCTGGTTAAACTTTATGCCTGTGAACTACAGCTAGGCTGTAGCTAGCCTCATAAAGACCCCAAAGCCGCGACAAATCTATGCAATCAAGAGCCACTAAAGGCAGTCAATTAGCGTGCAAATGCCCAGACCATGCACCGCGGTCCGGAACCAAGCGGCGACGTAGAGAAACCTGCCCTCAGACCGGACCACGGCCCCACTACGGCAGTACGGCAGCCACCACAGAAAGCACTTAAACGGAAGAAAAAAAAAAAAAAAAAAAAAAAAAAAAAAAAAAAAAAAAA